TATTTCAACAAAAGGGGCTTCATTAAGAATTCTCCGCAGGGTGGGATAGTGTGAATTACTTGGGAGGCTGAGAAAGGAGGATCACAAGTTTGAGGTCAGCCTGGGCAACTAAGAGAGATCCTGTGTCAAAACAAAAAATAAAAAATAAAAAGAGCTGGTGTAGCTCAGTGGTAGAGCACCCCCGGGTTCAATCCCCAGTCCAAAAAAAAAAAAAATTCTCTGAGGTGGCAGATCAGTCTCAGGTGGCATGGAGGTCAGTGGAACATGGAGGAAAGGAATTTGGAGGAACTGTGAACGTGACATGGAAGCAGAGGTACTATTATCTCCCCACCACAACGCCCACCACACTGGGACCTGCACCTCCACCCAGACAGGACCCCGCTGGGGGCACCACGTCCTTCTTGCTCATGTAGAATCTGGTGCCTGGCACAGGCAGTGGTGGACCACAGGTGGAGAGGTGGATGCTTTTCCAACACAGCTTGCACTGGTTCAAGGAGGAATGTTCTGGAAAACTTGCCTCTGGCCCCAGCCCCTATGACCTCCCAAGACCCCCTGCCTGCACGTGCACACTGCTGCACTCAGTCCCCACAGGTCACTGCTTACTGCCTGTCCTGTGCTCAAGGGACCTTGAGGGCTGCGGGACAGAGCGGGGAGGCTGAGCGGCCTGGGCAGGCCGAAGTCCTGCTGGAGGGCCACAGAGCCAGGGCGGGCCTCACTCAGGCCCAGGGGTCCCTCGGCCCTGCCCCTTTCTCCTCTGGAGTCACTTCCTGGGGCGACTCCCCTAGCCTGGCTGCACTCACCCTCTCCACCTAGACAGCGGGGTTGGCGCTGCCCCTGGCAGTGCTGCTTGGACCTCAGAGAGACACGGACTGTCCCCCCGAACCCGGCGCTCGGCTCACTTGTACAACAAAACGATATGCAACATTTAAGAACAGTATTTCTTATTTATGGGTGCAATTATCTTTTGGTACCAGGGGTTGAACCCAGGATGCTTCACCACTGAGCCTCATCCCCAGCCCTTCTCATTTTTCATTTTGAGACAGAGTCTCACTGACTTGTGTAGGGCCTCCCTAAGTTGCTGAGGCTGGCCTCTAACTCGCAATCCTCTTGCCTCAGCCTTCTGAGCCACTGGGATTACAGACGTGTGCATAGCACCTGGCAAAATCTGGGCCTTTGAGCTTTTCCTAAATCATCGTTTTTTGCGGTCTTTGAAGGTGATACGTGGTAAGTGCAGGGTGGGATTTGGACTCAGTGAGTCCTCAGACCTGCAGCTTACCTAAGTCCTTTGGTGTGAACCCTTGAAGTCTCCCAGTCTGGGCCATTTCCATCTGAAGTGGCTAATTTTTAAAAATATTTATTTATTTATTTATTTATTTTAAGGTGAGATGGACACAACACAATGCCTTTATTTTTATGTGGTACTGAGGATCGAGCCCGGGCCCCACCCGTGCTAGGCAAGAGCTCTACCACTGAGCCACAATCCCAGCCCCTGAAGTGGCTAATATGAATTGTCAACTTGATTGAATTAAGAGATGCCCATGATTAAGAGGCTTATGGGTGGTCAATGAGGGTGTGTCTAGGAATGATTGGCATGTGGGATGGCCAACTGAAATTGAGATCCTCCCTAAGTGTGGGCAGCACCATCCAATAGGATGATGGCTTGGATGGAATAAGAGTTGGAAGGACAAGGGGGCAGCAGATGCAAGCTCCATTCTTATTGAGTGGGTTCTTGATTGCTGCTGCCATCGTGGGAGGATATAGGACTCTTGCTTCTTCACTCTTCCAAAGTGGACTCTTGAAGGGAGCTGCCAGGAGTGAGCACAGGGTGTGCGGGACTGGCTTCTGCTCTCAGCAGAGAGCAGGTGGACCCCCACTCTGCTGGGCAGGGGAACGATGCTCTGGGATTGGGGGTCACCCAGTGAGACTGGGCTACACCCTGAAACCTAATCCCTTGCCTCATTTGGGTTACACTTTCTCGAATGTCTTTCTCCCCAATAAATAGAGGATTTTCAGGTGGCTCACCCTCTGTTTCCAACGGACCCTTAAGGTCAAGAGCCGTCCCTGATTCCTGAAGGCAAAGGCATTTCTGAGTGTTGCGCGCTTCTTTTGCTGTCTTCTTAGTTATCGAGGTAGCCAGATGTGGTGAGCCCAGCACAGGTGGACAGCTCGGCTAGTTGGCCATAGACTCTGCCAGTGATCCTCCAGAAGCCTGTGGTCTCCACTAGGGTAGCACCGTTGATCCTCTTGTTCTGGGGCTTCAGCCTCTGGACGGCGCAGCTCTCAGCCTGCCGACGGCCACTGGGGACTCTCCAGCTTCTGGTCGCGAGAGCCAACCTGATAAATCCCTTTTCATAATTATAGTTTCTGCTGATTCAGTTCCTCTAGAGAACCCTGACTGATACACCGTCTATCAGCCAGGGACACCTTTCCCTAAAGTCCCCCAGTCCAAAGCTCTGAGAGATACAGGTGAGGACCAGGCGGCGCTGTCTGTGGTCCTGAAAACTTCAGCCAAACTCAAAACCAAAGTGCAGAGCCCTCCCCATCTGTGGGGGTTCCGTTTCCAACGGGCGCTGGGCTGGCAGCCCAGCGGGACACTTTTGGATTAACCGTGTGAACGCGGGGGCAGGAGGGGATAAGCTATCTGAGAAATCAGAGCCTGAAATAAATGAGAGGAAATAAGACAAAGTCAGAATCATAGTTTTAAAAGCATGGAGCGCCCGATAGATTCTTCCAGTCCTGGCAGGAGCTGGAGCAGAACAAACAGAAAACGGCTTTGGTGGCTTAATTTAAGGGGGTACATCATGGGCAGGAATACGGGTTCAGGGGTGGAGTCTTGCTTCATGATGTCTTGCAGTCAACAGGTTGATTGGCATCTTGGCAATCACACCTATCTCTGAGAGGTGGTATAGCTACAGCAGTCACCCCATCTCCTGAGCCTGTGGGAACTTTTTGAGCAGAGCTGAGCAGGAGTTCACTCGCAGTGGGTGATCTTAATAGTAGGATGGCCACTGTAAGTTCCCAAATACCAGCTCTACTCTCCAATGGCTCCAATGCTGAAAAGG